AAAAAAAAAAAAAAAAAATCTATGGACTTTCCTGCTTGGGCTGGCTTTGAACTTCGGTCCTAGATCTCAGCCTCTTTTTTTTGTTTGTTTGTTGGTCATGGGTCTTGGACTCTGGGCCTGGGTGCTCTCCCTCAGCTCTTCTGCTCAAGGCTAGTGCTCTACCTCTTGAGCCACAGCGCCACTCCCTGTTTTCTGGTGGTTAATTGAAGATAAGAGTCTCACGGACTTTCTTGCCCAGGCTGGCTTTGAACTGTGATCCTCAGATCTCAGCCTCCTGAGTAGCTAGAATGACAGATGTGAGCCACCAGTGAGTGCCTGGCCCATGGTCAATGTCCACATGACCTCCCGAGACGCAGCCCCTGTTCAGCAGGAGGAAACAGCGACGTGGGGGTGAGCAAGAGGAAGGTCCTGCCCTGAGAGTCATGGTGGACAAACTCCTGGGCGTGTAGAATGGGGGTCTGGACAGAAGAGAGACAGCCAGGGCATGGTTGTGGTCAGGGACTGAGGGCTTCAGCCTGAACAAGTTGGGCACCCGTCTCCCGCTCAGCTACTGCCCAGGGAGCTGTGTGGGGTGCTCTGGGCTCTCCTGAGGGGTTACAAGCCCCCCACCCTGCCCAGAGGGAGCCTCCAGGCTCTGAACCAAGATGGGCGTAGACACAGTGACGGTGGGGAGTGACGGGGGAGAGATGTCATCCCCCCGTGGACTGAACATGGGGGGGGTGAGCCTCCAGCGCAGGGAGACCCCAATGCTCAGACCACGTGTCCCTGGGTCTGGTCTCAGCCCATCTGGATTCCTGGGGAGCCATCTGCCAGCGGGTAGGGTGGGGTGGGGTGGAGCATGGTGGGGCAGGCCAGAAGGCTCTGGATCCTGGATGAAGTTCTACTCTTCTGCTTTTTAAAATTTAATTTATAATTTGATTTGCAGATGCCAGACCTGCCAGGACCCTGTCAGTAAGTACCCCCCACACCCCATGACTGTATTCCAATCAGATCTGTGGCTTCAAGGCTGCTGGTGATGGGAGAAAGGGGGACTGGGCAGCTCCCCCTCCCCCCTCCCACCGTCCCCAGTGCCCAGAGTAGCCCCTGCAGGAAACTCTCAACCCAGAGGCTTGGCCTGGGCCCTTGGTGGGGAAGCTCACCCCTATGACCAGTTCCTGGCTCAGCCCCAGGGGGTTTCCAGAAGGGTTTACCAAGATTTGGCTCTGACCCTTTGGGGGCCTGTATCTGGCCCTGAGGAAGTCTGTATGTATAGTACACTTTCTCCTTTTCTTCTTTGTTCCACGAATAAAGCTCATCCATGAAGCTGGATGGCAAATCCAATTATGAAAACCTTAGAAGCAGGGCGCCGGTGGCTCACGCCTGTAATCCTAGCTACTGAGGAGGCTGAGATCTGAGGATCGCAGTTCAAAGCCAGCCTGGGCACAGAAAGTCCATGAGACTCATCTCCAATAAACCACCAGAAGACTAGATGTGGTGCTGTGGCTCAAGTGGTAGAGCGCTCGCCTTGAGCTGAAGAGCTGAGGGACAGCACCCAGGCCCAGAGTTCAGGCCCCATGACCGACAAAAAAAAAAGAAAACCTTAGCTCCCAGGCTGGATGCTTGCGTCTCACCTCTGTCATCCTAGTTACGTGTGAAGCTAAGATCTGAGGATCAGGGTTAGAAACCAGCCTGGGCGGGAGAGCCTGTGAGACTCTTATCTCTCGTAAACCAGCAAAAAGCCAGAAGTGGAGCTATGGCTCAGGTGGTAGAACACCCAGCCTGGAATGAAAAAGCTAAGGGACAGCACCCAGGCCTTGAGATCAAGCCCCAGGACTGGCAATAAATATTACACTCTTACTGGTCCCTAGAAAGCACCTTCTTTTGTGTGTGTTTTCTAGAAGTTTTCTCAGAGAGAATACTCCAGCCCAGACAAGTCAGAGGTTTTATACCGCCACCCTGTCTCCTGAGCTGCCTTCTTGTGGGGTCACCTGCATCCCCCATACCCCGAGAAATGCTAGGCGTGGGGCCAGGGACTCTGCCAACACTACGGCCGCCCACCCATGTGGGGGCCGTGCTCTGGGTCTCCCGTCGGCAGCCTGCCCCGTGCCCAGCTTCTCAGGGCGTGTGGGGAAGGGTGGTGCGCTGTCAGGGCGGAGGGAGGCGGAGGGTGAAGCACCTGCCTGTGCCAGGTTCAAGTGGCTCACACTGCGTCGTTTTTTTTCCGTTGATCAAATTTTCCATTGCATGCTTTTTCTTTTCTCTTCCTTTAAAAACATTTTTTTTCTTGTTTTTGTGTTTTGGTAATACTAGGGTTTGAACTCGGCCTCATGCTAGCTACATAGGTGTTCCGTCATTTGAGTTATTTGGCTAGCC